ATTCTCCAAGGATGGTGCCTTTCTCAGTCCCAGTGTCTTTGGGACCACAAGAAATACTAATTTATGTTATAACTCGTGTGAGCTCAGCACTGTAAGAATGCTAAGTTAACCATTGCTTTAAAAGTAAAAGGTAAACTCTGTGGAAATCGACTGCCTGCATCACTGTCACCCTCTAGGCGCATGAACATGAGAGTTGTGACTGCACTATGCTTTCGTTCACAGGGTACTAGAACCACTGTAACATCCACACTCATGTTCTGTTAGGTGTTAGTCCCCACCACCTGCCCTCCCACTCCTGAGATGTCTTTGTACCCCTAGAGATCTCTACCCATTTATGCCTTATTTCCAAACAGTGGGGTCCCCAATGTACCCACCACTATTCTCATGGAGTTAACTGCACAGTAATGGTAAGAGGTGAGTAGCCAGGGAATGGAGGAGCAGAGGAGCAGCACTCAGAGAATGAGCCTATGCACAAAAAGGAGTCCCTGTATTAGGCAGGTGTTTCATGTGCTGAGCTGATAAGTGAAAGTTTGGAGGTTCAAGGCCACCCACTGATGCCTCAGAAGAAAGATCTAGAAATGATTTCTGAAAAAATAACTACCGAAAATCCCATGGAGCATAGTCCTATTGGCATGTGAGACCACCATGATTCAGAATCTACTGGAGGTGGGGTGGTTTATATACATTATAAATAAAGGAAGAAAATACACTTAAGGGGCAAATATATAAATACACATCCTCATATCACGATCACCATCACCATGAAAAAGGAAGCACAGCCTTTGCTTTCATTTGCATCTCACACCCAGGCTGGAAAGTACCTATGGGGTTCCTTGTCCTTTTTAGAGTGGCTTTTGGTGGCCTTCTGTAACCTGATTTACCTCTGCTCACACACAGTGGATCATAGTCATGATGCACCCAGAACACAGCCACCCCAGCCCTCTCAGCCGGAGACTGAGAACAGAGGAGCATCGTACTCCTAAGAAAGACCTTATGGCATTGAAACAGAGGAGGAAGAGAACTGTTTAAAAGGGACATATTAATGGGTATTCTTGCATTACAGAAGTCCAGAGTGAAGGGTGCATAGTAGAGTGGACTTGTTGGGGGGGGGATTGCGTAACAATGAAAGAGTTTTACTTTTCAAGAAGAAGAGTGAATTGGAGGGAAGGGGAGAGTAGGGAGAAAAGTGCAACAATGAATGACTGGAAACCCTAAGTCTCTGTAAACTTTCATTAAAATTAATTTTTAAAAAAGTAAACAAAAAATAATTTTTTTTATTTTTTTTAAAAAATAATTTAAAAAAAAAAAAGACCTTGATCCTCTCCAAGGCATCAGAAAGAAAGTATTCCCTGAGGACTGCACAAAGATTCTTCTCTTTCTTGAGATCAAACATGCATTATTAAAGCAAAATATCCCTTACCCAGCTGAGTCTCTAGGGAAATCTTGCTCAGATGGGTCTTGAGCAGGCTTCTCTGGATAAGACTTGCCTCGGTGAGGACTTCCTGGGGTCTATCGGGTCTAAATAAGCCATAGGTGAAATGCCCCACAACTAGAGTATGATCTTTTAATGCTGATTCACACATAAGAGAGCTGTGTTAAGGGCCCATAATAAAGTCTCCAGGAGATGGGAGCTCTTCTACCCAGGATCCTTGGAGAGCAGAGGTAAAGAGGAGAAACCTCCCTCCACCTTCCATCTCTGACATGCAGATGATTCTCAAAGTAGAACTCCTTCCGGAGAAACTAATCAGACGGATGAACTAGACTGCTTAGCTTGAAGGAATAGTTGGGGAATTCAGTGGGAAATCAAGGGAACTTGGCATTACCCAGGACCCTTGGTGGCAGAGCTTAGCTGTTAACTGAAAGTTGGTGGTTTGAACATATCCAGCGATTCTGAAGGACAAAAACCTAACAACCTGCTCCCATAACAATTATTTGTTGTTGTTGTTATGTGCCGT